ACTGATGACAAATAAACCGATGCCAATCAGGCCGCTTCCATCCATCGCTCCAGCTCCAGATCGCTAGAGAATGTAAGAGGATGGCAGTTTAAACTGCGAAACTAAAAGTTCTACAGTTTAAAACTGAGGAACTAATTAGTTCCACGGGTTCTCTAGCTATAGCCGTTCAAAAGGTGCTTTTCGAAAAAAAAAAAAATTCCGACATTAGTAGAGTGTGTTATCCATCCTCATACATCATAGTAAGCCGTTTTGATCTGCGACGCCTATTTCAGGCATGAGAGGGAAATGCCGTCTATCAGAGAAACATAAAGCGGGAAAATTAAACTACGTACGGTAAGCTAAAGCTTGATACTGCCGTCTTGTGACCAAAGTTTGTGATCAGTTTGTCATCCGCTTGCCGTCTGTTTGACATCGGCTGACATTTGGATGAGAAACGGATGGTACAATGGCCACAAAATAATGTCATACAGATGGTCACGCCGATTTACGTTTTGTCATCCGCTTGTCATCAGTATGTTATAAAATTTTATCATCAGATTGTCATCAGTTTGTCGTCCGTTTTTCATCGGCAAGGTGACCAACCGATCACAAACTGATGCCATAATTTTCCAAGCAGGGTCCGAGCGAACTTTGCGCGTACTTTACTAAAGGGCGTACTCGTCGGAGCTGTAAGGGTTGTTTATTTCCACTATTTCTAAAGGTTTTTTTGTGGAGTTTTTTTTTAAATAATTGTCCTGACTGTGATTGAGGATTTAAGCTGAACTAAAAAGTAATTTTGTTTGTCTTCGAAGCGCCGGGCGATTGCCCTACCCTGGCGAAAAAGGGAACCGTATGTACAGGTTTTCAAGACGTTTGAAGCGTGTTTCATAGGAGTTTTGGGGGCGATAACTGCTTAGAAACTCAGTGTGCTCAATGGAAACATGTTGCGGTGTGTTTATTGTAGGCCTACAAAACCAACTGAAAACGCGCTACAACCAACACGGCAAAACCCACAATTAAACATCCCTCTCCAAGTTTCATGCAAGTTTTCGGAAACACGTTAAAAACACCTTTCTGAGCGAGTTTATAGAGGGTTTACACAGTGTTACGAAAACCGTTTGTAGCGTGTTATTGGAACACCGCCTGCAAACCTCCGGGAGAACAGGCCCCAGCGTGTTTCTTCCGTGTTTTTGAAAACACGGTAAACACAGCTTTCTGAGCGAGTTTATAGAGGGTTTTCACAGTGTTACGAAAACCGTTTGCAGCGTGTTATTGGAACACCACCTACAAACCTCCGGGAGAACAGGTCCCTGCGTGTTTCTTCCGTGTTTTTGAAAACACGGTTTAACAGCTTTCTGAGCGAGTTTATAGAGGGTTTACACAGTGTTACGAAAACCGTTTGCAGCGTGTTATTGGAACACCACCTACAAACCTCGAGGAGAACAGGCCCCAGCGTGTCTCTTCTGTGTTCGTTGAAACACGGTGAAAACAGCTTTTCTGAACGAGTTTCTAATGGGTTTCAACAGCGTTTCAAAGGAAAGGTGCAAGCAGTAAATAAAAAAAAAAAAGGAAATATTTTTTTTTTATTTCTTATATTTTCTACCGTATGATTTTATATATTGATACATTCCAATCATTGTACTATTCAGTACTGCAACCGTAAGGAATACGTGCAACATATTTGGCACCTTCAATACATATGTACAAGCAGGGCTCCTCTATTTCTTCAATGGACACAAATTTGAACGATGTCAACCTTAAAATTTTGGACACATTGTCATATTGGACTTGAGAATCCCTTATGAAGGGATTCATGTCGTAACGCACAATTTGAACACCTAAAACTACTTTGTTTAAATCAGCAAGTTTTATAATTTTATCTATCACAACACATTCACCAGTACGTAGAAAACAGTATGAATCATTGTTCTTTAACTTGGCACAGTAGTCCCTAGTGGTATACCTGTTTCTGTTGTGTATAAATCTACTATACAAAAAACAATGATCCATTTTTGTGCCAATTTTTCTTTTAACAGCATCGAGTACCTCGAATATCTCAGGGGACCCTAATAGAACACATGTATTGTTTTCGGCGTACTGACACCGGACCAGCCTCTTGTAATTTAAAATACTTTCTGAAAAGTTGATTATTCTGTCCGAACAGCTTAAAGTTTCAGATAAGTGTGGCAGCGATTGATATATGACAAACTTGCGTGCAACTTGCAAAGAAATACAGTAAGGGCTTTTGCAAAGCTGAACTAGATATCTGTTTTCAGATTCGTAAGGGAAACTACTGTGTCCCCAAATGGGACCAAAGTTGTAAACACATTGGCCTACATGAGATAGCAGGTGAACATTGTAGACCATATTGGCAAGCCCAAAGTACTTTTCAAAATAGAAACTATAACAGAGTAGTAGCTTGTGAGCCGATTTGATGTCCGCATCAGTTACTGCCCTTTGTAAAAGTAGACTAAGGGCTTTACTAAAAAGAGCAAAGTGTACAATATGCTTATCTTTTAGCAAACCTTTTAGACATGGCACAAAGTAAAATAAAGCCCAGAGTCGCCACTCACTTGCCCTCCATAAAGCATGATCAGTAATACGTCGCAGCTCTCTGACAACCGCTGTGCTTGACTGCACTGCTGAAATTCTATCATCAATAATACTAGTCAGAGTCTTCACTCCAATGCTTTCGTCTGATTCATGTAACCACATTTTTTTTTTCCAGAATCAACTCAGTGTGTTTTTTAACAATGCCAAGCAGCATGCAATGCATGTAATCAACTACCAAAGAATCAAACATACTGAAGTGGTTAAGAAATGTTAAATTACATGCTCCTTTCACCCCCCTGTGTGCTCTATCAATCAAATTCCTTTGCCAACCTAGGCACAGTAAATCTTCTTTGTAACTCTCCTTTGTCCTTGGCTCGGGAGTTTCATCAGTTATAAAGGGGTAGCGACTTCCCGTTTTAGTAATGTATTCGGTCATTTTGTAACAAAAAGTACATCCATATCTGCCGGCATAGTTATGGTAATTCAATAGTTGACACCTAGCAACAGAATCAGCTACACAGCAGATGGGTATAACAATACTGGTGACCTCCTCACCGTTGTAAATCCAATTTATGCCAGTTGAGGATAAAACGTTCAAGGCATCCACAAAAGGTTTCATAAAGTACAATTCTTTTGGATCTTTAGGTCCAGCATACACTCCAGCCAAAATAAAATATTTGATTCGCTCATGATAAGGAATCTCATTTACAGTTAAATATATTGGCCATATGGTTTTGTTGGAAGACTTTCCATAGGCAACACCATCAGTGAAGAAAGTAAATGAGAAATTAAAGGGAGATGAAAGTATTCCACCCTCAGCACTAAAGCTTTTGTACACTTTACCATCATAAATATCACTATACAATCCAGGCTGGGATGTACGCTCAAATCTATATTTAAGCAAGCTACTTACAAAATAATCATCTTTTAAAAATTTCTGTAATTGTGATTCTATCGATAAAGACACAAAGCAGTTTGACGAAACCTTCACTGAAATATTTTTGTTGCACGTCTCACAGTACATGGATGTTATTTTTTCATGTTTAATACCCAGATATGCATTACACCTGTGGCAGAACACATGGTTTTTAATGTCTTTCTCATCCTCAACATTCAATCTTTCCTTGTACATATGTTTTGTTGTAGGGATTGAAGCACTTTTAAAAATTGTTGCCATCATTTTTAGAATATCAACTTGTGCAACCCAGGTTAAGCCATGGCGTAAGCCCAGAGTTAATGTCATAAACAAAAGTTCCTCAACACTAACATCTGTGCATAGACACAATGGTTCACAAGGCTTTTTAGGAGTCACTGGTGGTTTTTCATGAGAGTTTTCACTGGTCACAACAGAACGCTCATTGCCACCCAAAGCGAAGTCTGTTGGCATGGCTGGCACAGGGGACGGAACTGGTGAAGGCACAGGTGAAATCTCCGGCGAAGGCACAGGGGCTGATGTAGCTTGATGTGGGTCAGAAGATGAGTCACTTTCGCTGCTTGAGAGAGCATCGTCGCTATCTTGAACCTCCCTGGGAATAGTTTTACTCCTGCGCTTGCGACGCTTCACCTGCTTCTGCTTATTTGGTCTCACCTAATAATTGAAATTACAGAAAAAAAAAATATATGAGTGAAATAGTACAGTACAGGGTGAGTGAAAGTAAAGTTGAATGCCATCATTACTTTGCACTTCTTGAAAGTACTGTTATTGTTTATAACTATATTTACCTGATCATCAGAACTATCAGTGCTGGAGTCGTTTTCTCTTAATGTAGCAATTAGAAAATCGTCTCTTTCCTGATCTATGGGCCGGTTGTCCCTGCCTGGTGCTTGCTGTTGTAAATTATTGTTGCTCTGCACTCTGCTACTACCAGGGTTCTGAATCGCTTCACACACTTCTTGTTCACATCGCTCGTTGACATTTACTGGTTGGACAGGGGCTGCCTCAGTGCAAGGGGGTTTCTAAAACAAGTACAAAATATTTTCAATTATTATCGGCCTAAAGAAATTATAATTTTTGAGCTCAAATGTTTGGGTATGTATAGGTTAAGAGACACTGTATCTTTAAATCAACATACCTCTTTCTTTCTCCGATAGTTTTTCCGGTAACACTTTGTGGATTTCGGTTCACGATTACCCTCGAGAACCCAAGCTCTGTATCTCCCCATTTTATAATATTAACCGATAAAACTTAAAAATTATTGAAGTAAATCAAGAAAACAAACAAAGCGACCACAGATAGTGCTAGTGCTGCGATGGGGTAGGATATGAAGCTCGTAGGAAACAGCGATACATGCAAATGGCCGACAAGTCACCGCTATCTATGCGGCCAGAGTTTAACTGCCAAATACATATGTTTGGGTGTATTGCGTAGAAAAACAATGCTTCATTCAAATATAACGTTATATTTGAATGTTAAATTGAAATTGGAACATTTATAATGAGACAAACAGAAACTAATACCTGTGGGCCTTAAGACAAAAGTTCGTTAAACAAACGGTATTCGGATTCATACTGGATAGAAAATTGATAAAATCATTTGCGATGTTTCGAAGGCGTCGCAAGCGTCGGAAGCTACGTGAGGTCGCTGCTAGCGTCGCAGGAGCTCTGCGCGAGAAAACTTGCAAACTCAAAATTGGAGTTTAGACATGCGGTTTGGACGTTAAAAAATGTTTATTAAAAAGCAAGACGATGCAATGAACATCATAAACGTTTTTCGAACAGAATAGACTTTGATCGGAACAAGCGAACGGCCCGGCTTAGACCTCTCCCCGCCGGTCGCTAATCCCCTGGCAGCTGGGCGCCGGAGGGTCCGGCCCCGCCCCGAGCCCTGCCTAGGCGTGGTACCCACGCCCAACCTGGGTTCACTCGATATAGATCCGTGGCGAAGCCCAAATCGCGTATCTATATCGAGGGAACACTGGACCGCCATTTCACTGGAGGAGAGTAGCTCCCCTTAGAGGGCGGCAAAAAAACTGAAGGTTCAAAAAGTTAGGGGAGGTGCTCGGATCAAAATGCCACTTGCAAAACTAAAATTTTTGACACCACACTCAACTTGATCGGACATCGGAAAAAGGTCGCACCACGCTATCAAAGTTTACCACAGATCTCTTATGGGAAAATGATCTAAAAAATAACTTTTTTTTGAAAATGGGCTTATCATTGCAAAAATTTTGAATTTTGTTTCCAGAAACGAAATCTACACGTCAAAACACACCCAGTGATGTGCCACACTTGGTGTTCCACCAAAGGAGCAGCCGCTGAGAGATGCTAATTTATGGATCTTCTTGCCATTTTTAGTAGAATTTAGCTAAGTTAAGGCCCCACCTGGCCACGGACCCTCGAGTACAACACCAAGTGTGGCACATCACTGGGTGTGTTTTGACGTGTAGATTTCATTTCTGGAAACAAAATCCAAAATGTTTGCAATGATAAGCCTATTTTTCAAAAAGTTTACTTTTCAGGTCATTTTCCCATAAGAGCTATTGAGATACGACGAAACGGACTACAAATTCGGCTCCGCCTCGTTTTGACCCCCAGAACATTGTTCCCTGTCGTTCCTTAACCACATATAGTAGGAAGTATATTGTTTGAAGTTGCACTCACTCTGATTAAGTCACTCTCAGAGGTGTTCTGAGTGCAGAAGTACTCAGAAATTCGCACTCTCGGATCCGCGAAATTTGTGTGTGTAACTGCACTCAGACATTTTGCACTCTAAAACTTCAGAGTGCATTAAACTTTGATAGCGTGGTGCGACCTTTTGTCGATGTCCGATCAAGTTGAATGAGGTGTCAAAAATTTTAGTTTTGCAAGTGGCATCTCGATCCGAGCACCTCCCCTAACTTTTTAAACTTTTAAACCTTCAGTTTTT